CAACCAAATAGTCTATTACAAAAACTAAGATCTGGCATCAGATCCAAAAAGAATTTTCAGATGACTCAAAGTGGTCATCATCTCCATTAGGCAGGCAATAATACTCTTGCTCCAAATATCTATAGTATTGCTAACACCATATCATGTTATAATACCATACCCAAGCAAGCTTGTCTTTATAAAAAGTCATATCCACTCAAATATCTATTCTTACCGGTTAGTCTGTCATGGTCATCTCCTCAGATTCTCTAGGTTTCTAAGCTCAACCACAATTTCTTTTTCTGAAGTGCATATATGGAAGTCAATACTGGATGTGGATTTATATTTACCTTTCGTACAAATGGCCATAGTTGTTTGTGTGCACGTATTGTAGTGTTTTATCTGTTCCTCACAATGCCTCTACTGGTGTTCCAGACAATTTTCTCTATGGACTCTTTCGTGAAGACCCGGGCTTTGCCAGAGGATGTAATTGCTGGATGGCGTCCAAAAGTCATGGGTTAAACCACTCAGCTGATTTTTCAAGCAAAGGATTAGGGACTTATTTAACCTGAGACATCCAAAAAATGATACTGTCTACACTCTCGCCAAACCGGCATGTAGTTCAACATAGAGGTTGTAATCAGATTCTTCAGGCATATTGATTTTTTATCCATTTGTCCACAGAATTGCAGACCGACACTACATTTTTATCCATGTCATTTAATGTAAACTGTTTTCTTAGGCAACATACCTTAAATGGTAAGCACTGGCCTTGTTATGGAATAAGATGTACTCCATCTTTCATGTATTGAGATTTGGCAGATTTTTGTTTCACATTTAAATATACATTTCAGGACAGGTGAGCCTTTAACAGACATTATAAGATCTGTTTCACTCAATGGCGCCATCTAATCAGTAAACATCATGTATCTATGTTAAGGAAATCCTACGTTTTCTAAAGAAACAGAACATTGTGAATTTGTAATGGAATTCACGACCTTTACCCATTACATGATGCTAATACTTTGGTCCCCAGAGGCTTTGCCACAAAAGATGAAAACCAAGTAAGATTGGTCTTCTATTTTATTTTCTAGGATCATTTACTAAAACACCTTTTATAGTTATATGGATTTGCTAAAACCTATCTATAGTTTGTATTTTACTAAAACACCTCTTGTAGTTTGCAATTGATTTACTTAACTAACAATTCATTAGATAGTGTAAACTAACAGTTTTGACCCTAATTTCTATTTAAATAAATTTAATCAAAAGAAAATAAAAATACCAATTTTTCCCTTAATACGATAAGCAACCACTCTATTTGGTCAATTTTGTTTTTTGTATGAAATGTTAACTTAGGGGTATTTATGGAATAAACAATCATAGGTCATGCCCTTGAACATTTTTCACTAGGTGATAATATTACTATTTTTAGAAGTCAAAACAAACACTTCTTAGTGAAACGTCAATTAAGTAAATAGGTTACAAACTATAAGGATGTTTTTGTAAAATGAAAAATATAAGATAGATTTAAGTAAATCTTTAAAATTATAGGGAGTGTTCAAATAAATGACCTTATTTTCTATTATCATGCATTAAATTTACACACCTCCCATCAAATTTACTCAATTTTCCCTTTCCACCTACCATCAGTCTTATCTCGACATTGAAAATAAAATAAACACCAATTACTTTTACCACATCCCACCAAATCATCCAAGGATTGGGATATGCTCCTCACACACGGTGCCTCACGACTTTACAGGCACATCTCAACGTGAATTGGGATCATCTCCCATAAATAATAATACATAAAAATGGAAAATTATTTTTGGCATTGATGAAAAATCATCTTAAGTGATGTTTGGCATTGATGATGAAAAATCATCAAAATTTGTTGTTTGGATCATTTATGCCAAATAAACCGATTTTTGAGAAATCGACTTTGAATCTGTTTAGAAATTACTTTTTAATGGAGAAATATTTTTGTATTAGAGTTATAATTCAATGCAATGATGTTGGATGCCATGTCATCCTAAAAAATCAGAATCAGCTAGAAATTATAAAATCACCAAAAAAGTTCACTGAAAAGAACTGATTTCAATAAGAAATCAGTAAAATTTCAATAATCGACTTTTGATCGATTTCCTAATAATCAGTAAAACCCGCCAACCAAACGGAAATTTCAACATGATTCCGCTAACACTGACGTGGCTCCAACATGGCAGTGATTTTCAAGAAATCGTCGATGCCAAACATTACCTTAGTGATGAGATGTTGAATTGAAATAATTGCTCTGGGTTGGGAAGTTGCTCAAGGTTCATTGATTCATTCCAGTTCAAGTTTTCTACCAAGGATCTTGCCTGCAATCTCCATATAAATCTACTTTGTAACTGAGTTTGCTGAATAGGGTATTCGTGCCAACTTTCTCAATTTCAATAATTTTCTCCGAAACCAAGCGCTTTTGGTTCTATTTCTATCAGTGCAAACAAAATTTCAGAATTACACTGCTTCTCAGACAGCGTTTGAATCAATCAAAACTTAAATTAGGTTGAACGCTTGAATACACTCTCCAGGAAAAAACAAAATTGAGCATAAAAGACAAAATTGCATGATACTTACAAAACCTAGAAACAAGAAACTAGAGCTGCTCAAGTCACTAACAGGATGAAGCATGCGTATACATCTAATTCCTTCATAAATTTGCTTGGATGGGCAAGGAACAAAATCTTCCATTAGGCTTTTGAAAGGGCTTCTTGAAGGGTGAAGCAGTTGAAGTTGCTTAAAGGCCGAAGCAGATATTCAGTTCAGAAACCAAGCCTCTAAGAAAATTCTTCTCTAAAACAATTTCAAGTGTTTATTGAAACAATTTTCTCAATCTTTCAGCGGAGAGGGATGCTCTCTTATTGGTAGGCTCTAGAACAAGTGCATATCTGAAATCTGTAATTAAAAACACACAAAAAAGAGACCATCACATGAAATTAGTGTCTGGATTCAATGTTCAAACAGAGAGAGGAAAGTGCTGAAGAAACTTTTAGTTGCACCAGCAAAAGCCCAATAGTTGTCTTGAACCCTTTAAGACTTCAAAACCCTAACCAATAGGCAAGAAAACTTAAAATTTTAATCACCCTTCTCTTGCTTTCTTGGGACAAAGATAAGGGTTTCGAGCCCTATATTTTCTGAGTTTCGTATTTTTCTCATGAACATGTTGATTTTCTATGTTGTGATATGAAGTCTATATGATTGTCAGTTGCTATGGAACCTAGGGAATTACAAACTATGGCAAAGCCTGTCACAAATCAACCGAATCCCATACCATGAGCCAGAGCCACTACAGCCAAATTAGAATTCTACATATTAATCTTTATCCACCCGGTGACAACTCTGAGTTACCATGTGTTAACACAATTTTATGATCTGCTGCTACTATTTGAGACAGAAAATTCAACTCTTCTGAGATAGTAGATCTTTTTGGTAAGTATATACAAAGCTAAAAAACTTTTAGTAAAAAAAAATAAGATAGCAGACTCACCTTCAATGGCCTCCTTGTAATAACCAAGCATCTCCCGTGCTGTTCCTCTTCTTAAATAAGCTTTTACATTCTACAATAAATGAATAAATTGGCAAAAGATGCAAAAGACAATGTCAGTAATATATTATTATGCTCGCTTTCAAAGAAAATTTAATTTCATGAACACTATATATGTAATTATAGAACAAATGTTTTCCCTTCTTTTCCCTATCTTTCTTTCAAATCAAACACAGCTTCAAGAAACAATAAGACTTTTCATGGGATTTTTTGAGCTTCAACAAATGATATTCAAGTTATTTCATGTGGTCAATCCACCTTTTAGCCCACTGGATGTCAGCACCCACTCAGAAGCAGCAGCTCTTGGGTTCGACACAGGGCAATGATTAGATCTGGTCTGAGCATTCACCTATCAAAAGTAGTAGATTTATGTGTGGACACCTAGACCAAGGCCCCAAGCTCCAATTTGAAGACAGGCAAAAAACTGCTAGGGCTTAATTCAAAACATGGTTTCACAAGAAAAGATGCTAATAATTCAAAACTGCAAGGGCTTATTTCAAATATTTTCTTGTTTTTATGAAATATTTATGTGATTTAATATTTATCTATTAGCATGTGTTATTTGCCAAGAATTTTGGACATTGGCATATCAGGCACTTGCAGACACCTGGGTAGTTGGCACCCATGCTATGTAGCAGGTGTAACATTAAATAGCTACAAGAGATTTCTATTTTCAATTTTTAATAGCAAGTTTATCTTAATACTATCCAATGAAATGCTATTCAATCAAAGCCATGAAGGCAACTACCAAAGATATCAAAGCCATGTAGATCATCACATTCAAATACTCGCCCTTATATACCAACCAGAAATGGTCTTAGTCCTTGAACAACTTATTAATACATCTATCATGTTCACCATGCAAGGTTTGACAGTAGAGACTGACACGGCAGAATTGATCAGTAGACTTAACTCTATTTTACAGGTGGACTAACAAATACTAGTTTCCTAAACAAACAGCATGTTAATTCTGACACACTACCATAAACAGTTGCTAAACATCTTAGGCACTTGGATATCATAACTTATGAACTTGAGATCTCCTAAAGGTGAAGGGAAAACTTTCTAACGGGGTATGATTGGATTGTTGCCTCCACTACATGGCACTTATAGCCTATGCCATATTTCATTTGACCATTGTCCACAATACCACAACCATAAATTAACCCCACAAAGCAGCAACAATATTCTACCAAGGATGCAGGACTTTAGCTTCTTTTAGATGCATGTAATCCTAAAAGCACCCCTCTCAGGGTGCTGCTCAAAATTAAAGATCAATAATTCTTTCACTTGAAAAGATATGGTATGGAGATTAATTCACCAGTCCATTTAAGCTTGAAAACAAGTTGGACAGAAAAGTACTAACCATAAAGAAACCCACCTTTATGTATTAATAAATACAGTTCTAACTTCTAAAGTATCAAAAACCAAAAATTGAAGTATTAACCATAAAAGAATGCACCTTTTTATCAAGATTAATGGCTGTGCTGCAATCTGCCTCAGCTTGGTGATAGCTGTATGAACACCATGGAAATCATTAAGCAAAGATAATAACCTAAGAATCAAAGCAAGGAAAAAAAATAAAAATAAAAAAACTCAAGCTAAAATTATTAATACCTCCCAATTTCCAGATATGCAGCAGCCCTGTTACTGTAGTAGGTTGCATTTTTGCTACTAAGTTTGATTGCTTCTGTATAGAAGCTGATAGCCTTCTGCCACTGTTTATCTTTGAAAGCAGCATTGCCCTGAACATAGACATGACCAAAGCACTACGTAAACCAATTACTACAGACAAGAGAAAAGAAAAGCATGAGATTTTTTACACATCAGGGCAAGTATCTCAGAAGGTAATTACATAAAGAGCATCCCGGTGCAAAAGGCTCCTGCCAATGCTGGGCCTGTGGAGGGACAGAAGTATGCAGCATTACCCCTGAAGATACACAGAGAGGCTATTTCCAAGATCTGGGCCCTGATCACCCAGGTCACAATGGAAAAACCCAACCATGACTAACTACATACATAGTTATATCTCTGGCCAGGAGAAATTTGGCAGAGACTAACTACATAAAAATGCGAATAAAATATAACCAAAACGATACATGCATAAAAATCATGGCAATATAACCAGAACGGTACATGATAATACCATGAAAATATTATGGCATATATGAAACTAGAAAACAAAAGTTATCCAAAAACAGATGCATTCAAGAAAGCTACATAAAACAGCTACATGGCAATGTTTGCAATATGATGGAATTAAGATATCTCAAAGCAAAACACAATATACTTTAGATTCACCTTTTAAGGTAATTAAAGGGGAATTATCCATGTCATAACCATGAATATCCAAACTTATTGTCCAATAATATGTACCAAAAAGTTTAAAGTCAAAACTATATGCAATATGATGGAATTAAGATATCTCAAAGCAAAACACAATATACTTTAGATTCACCTTTTAAGGTATATAAAGGGGAATTATCCATGTCATAACCATGAATATCCAAACTTATTGTCCAATAATATGTACCAAAAAGTTTAAAGTCAAAACTATATGCAAAAGCTTGACGGAGTCAAGGAGGGAGACACCTCCACACCTTGGTGCATTAGTGGGGACTTTAATACTATTAGGTTCCCTTCAGAGAAAATTGGTTCAGCTAAAGGTGACCGGGGTATGAGAGGGTTTGTAAATTTTGTGCAGCAGTGGGGCCTGATGGATTTGACTCTTGCTGGTGCTAACCTTACCTGGACAAACGCCACTCCTACCTTGGTCAAACTGGATCGTTTCCTAATCTCTCCGAAGTGGGAGGAGAGCTTCCCCAACTTACTCCAATCTGCCCTCCCCAGATCTCTCTCAGATCATATGCCCCCTCTCTTAGATAGTGGACGGGTGCCTTGTGGCCATGGGTCCTTCAGGTTTGAACACATGCGGTTGAATGAGGAAGGCTTCCTTGAGCAGTTGCAGCGTTGGTAGGAAAGTATGAGCTTTACAGGTTCGGAAAGTCACATCTTCTACTAGAAATTGAAGGAGTTGAAACAAAAAATCAAAGTCTGGAACAAAGAAGTTTTCAAAGGAATAGAAGCTAAAAAGGCAGACTACTTACAACAAATTGTTGATCTTGATTTGGAGGATGAAAGGGGTCCTTTAAGTGAGGTGTGAGGATAACAGGAAAAAGAGGCTTCAGGCCAAGATAAACTATGATAAAATTACCTATCAAAAAGAGGTGAAATGGAGGCAGAGATCTTGGAGCTTATCGTTAAAAGAAGGTGATAACAACACAGCTTTGTTTCTCAAGATGGTCATGCCAAAGGCGCATTAACAGTATTAAGGCTTTAAAAGTTAATGGGCTGGTGCTGGAGGAGGAAAACCGGGTCAAAAATGCTATTGTGGAATGCTATTCTAATCTTCACAAAGAAAACAGGGCTAGAAGGCCAAGGCTTGATGGGCTGGACTTCAATAGAATTTCTAATGAGGCTTCTTCGGACCTGGAAAAGATGCCAGGCCCTGAAGGTTTCACAGTGAAGTTCTATAAGATGAGCTGGTCTTTTATCAAACAGGATCTCTTGTTGGTTTTTGAGGAATTCCACTCCAAGGCCACACTAGAAAGGTGTCTCAATTCTACTTTCATCATTCTAATCCCCAAGGAATGGACTTTAGAGTTGATGGACCTCAGACCTATTAGTCTCTTGGGAAGTGTCTATAAAATCCTTGCAAAAGTTTTATCTTCAAGGCTGAAAAGGGTGATGCGTCAGATTATCTCCCCTACCCAAGGAGCTTTGGTTGAGGGGCGACAAATTCTTGATGGTGTCCTCATTGCCAATGAATTGATTGACTCACGAAAGAGGGTAGATAATTCTCAAGGCGGATTTAGAAAAGGCTTTTGATCATGTTAGTTGGAGTTTCCTAGACTGCATGCTAAAGAGAATGAATTTTAGCTAAAAATGGAGGAGTTAGATCAAGGTATGTGTTACTACTCCCACCTTTTCCATCCTTCTCAAGGGTGTCTCTTATGGGAAGTTCCAAAATTCAAGAGGGTTAAGGCAAGGGGATCCCCTGTCCCCTTTCCTTTTCAACATAATTATGTAAGCTCTAAGCAAGCTCGCTTATCGGGCAGCGGATGGAGGCTTTAGTCAAGGGTTTAAAGTTGGGGTGGGTAGAGATCAAATCCCCTTGCTCCAGTTTGCTGATGATACCATCTTCTTTCTTGACTCTTCAGCCGATCAATTGATTTCTCTAGGCTTCATTCTAAGATGATTCTAAGCTGTCTCAGGCCTCAAGATTAACCTCTCCAAGATGAACTAATGAAGACAGGAGAAGGGCTACCTGAGCCCACTTTGGCTAACATCCTAGGCTGCGAGGAAGGGAAGCTACCCTCCACCTATCTTGGCCTACCTCTGGGTGCTAGGTGCATCTCTAAGAAGATCTGGGACCATATTATTGAAAGATTTGACAAGAAATTATCTTTGTGAAAATTTAAATACCTTTCAAAAGGAGGTAAGCTCACCTTAATCCAGAGCGTTCTATCCTCACTCCCTATCCATTATCTGTCTTTATTCCAAATGCCTACAAGTGTTGCAAGAATTTTAGAGAAGAAAATGAGGGTCTTTCTGTGGGCAGGATGAAGGAACAATTCTAAATTCAATCTGGTGAACTGGAAATCTGTGTGCCAGCCTAGAAAAATTGGAGGCCTTGGCATGAAATATACCAAACTGGTGAATAAGGCTCATCTGGGTAAATGGTGTTGGAGATTCAGCAAGGACAGATACAGGTCTCCCTGTTTTCTTGAGGGGCATCAGGTGCAAGGTTGGTAAAGGTAATCACCTAAAATTCTGGCATGACCGGTGGTGCAGGAATCAGGCTCTACAGGAGAGATTTCCTTCTCTTTTTGAGATTGCACTTGATAAGGATGCTGTGGTTGAATAGACCTGTTCATGGGCCGGGTAGCCCGACGGGCCGGGCCCAATGTTTTAGGCCTGAGCCCAACTTGATAATGTATTTATATAACAAAAATATATTTTATATAATAAAATATATATAATATATTTTTTTCTTTATTATTCTTATCTTTTTTCAAGTAATAGTGAGATCTTTCATTATTTTTTAGGTTTTGAGGTCTTTTAATATAAATAAAACAGTTTTTTATTGAATAAAAAAGGAAAAAAAATCTTTTTCCAATTTTCTGGCCGGGCTTGGGCTCAAGACCGCCCGCTGGTTGGGCTGGGCTCGGGCACAGTTTTTTATTGAAGAATGCTTTGACTCTGAATGGGGAGGTTGTTTGGGGTCCCACTTTTCAAAGAAATCTCAATGATTGGGAAAACAGCCCACTGACTGAGCTGTTAAGCCCTCATTCAAAGCATCCTGCCTAATCCTCAGACTGAAGATGAAAGATTCCGATCTTGGAGCTCCCCGGGCAAGTTTTCCTCTCAGTCCTACAACAACTTGATGTCATGGGAGGACATTGATTTCCCTTGGGCCTTGATCTGGAATTCCTATGTCCCATCCAAGGTTTCCTTCCTGGTTTGGATTGCAGCGCTGGGTGAATGTCTAACCACTGATCGGCTGCTCAGAAGGGGGATGCTTCCTTCAAACATCCTATGCCCCTTGTGCAATGAGACTTCTGAATCCTCCAATCATCTTTTCATCCATTGCAGTTTTTCTTCCCAACTGTGGGAAATGGCTTTATCCTGCTTTGGAGTTCAGTCATGCTTACCTGAATCAGCTCTTCAACTTCTGAAAGGGTGGTCCCTCAAGGCACTGAACACCAGGGGCAAATTGCTTTGGAGGATCTTTACATCTGCCATCATATGGGCCCTCTGGAAGGAAAGGAACAGCTGAATCTTTGATAACAATTTTGCTAATGTAGTTTCAATAAAAAACAAGATTGTAGGCTTTTTGTGCTCTTGGTTAAGTGTACAAAGGGCATTCAAGGGTGTGCAGCTTTTCTCATTTTTGCAAGCTGGACCTTTCTTTGGTTGATACTTCTTGTATAATCCCAATGTACAGGCTCTCATTGTACATGGGCTGATTGTTTATGAGTTTCCACATATTTTAATACAATTCAATACTTAACCTGTTTCAAAAAAAATAAATAAATAACTATATGCAAATGAAATGTCAAGACCAACTTCCTGGTAATCTAACTACCAGTGAAAATTTCAAGTAAAGCCACTGAAAAATCTCTGATTTCCTACCTAATCTTCATGTGTGTATGTGTTGAAGTAATAATAGGGATTAATCTTTAACAAAACAAAAGGAGAAAGAATAAAATGTTACATTCTGATCAAGAGAAAGGACTTTGGGAAAGGTATTCATCTCATTGATATTCAAAAAACGAGTAGCAAAGAGTAAGGTGGAACAGGTAGAGATTATTATGACATGGTATCTCTTTCTTACCTAAGACAGAAAAACAGTAACCTCTCTTCTTGCTCTTTCTGCTGTTCTTCTTTTTGTATGAAAGAGAAAGCAATATTAATCATCAGAATTTCTTAAGTATAAGCCATGTACACTTAGAAGCTAAGGGGTACAAATCACCTTCTATCAATTTATCAAAAAAAAAAAGATATAATCAATGAGGAACATCATGAAAAGTCCCAAATAATTGCAAAGAAAGTGACTTTCCAAGCCACCTTGTATCTGTTACTTAAACCATTCACTTTCCGGATCACCACTGTATCAAGAGTACAGAAAATAGCAACTGACAAGGAAAACCTGAGAAAACATTCCCTGGTGGTCTGGTTCATTGGACAATGAAGAAAAAGGCTTTTTGCCAATCAGAAATCAAGAGGACAAAACACATCTCAAGAAGTGCAGTAGTCCACATCATGAAAGATACCCTGCTGGATAGAGAGGACTACCAAATCTCTTTATGAGAGGAAAAGGAGGCAGAAAGAAGCCAAGGGACCTTGGATATTGTTACCCCTTTTCTAAGGATGACATCATTAGAAGCCGGCAAATAGCAGCTCTTTCCTCTTCAAATTGGACTACTATTACAAGAGAATGGACTTATCACTCATCCACCTCTGAATCACTTTAAACTAAACTTTTATGGCTGCGGCCTAGGCGATCTGAGCACATGAGGGCATTGAAGGAGTCTATAAAGATAGTCATGGTTTATTTTGTTGTGGATCAGCTACTTTGTTTTCTTGCTCAATTGTGATAGAGGAAGTTTCTTTGGTTTGTGAGTCTGGTATTGGCATCAGGGGTTTTGTAAGAGATTTTGCTTTGGTTGGTGCTGGTTAGGTTGTTACTGTTATTTGGCATGTTCCCTTTACTTTTGGATGATTTCTTATCACCTTGTCTTGTACTTTATTTTATTTTACTATAAACAAAAAGCAAGAAACTTGGAATATCTCTCTTTTTATTTTTTGGAAGATGCTATGAATTTCAGTAAACAGGATAGAACAGACAATAAACATCCCAGGTTACAGCAACTAAATTGGAACAGTTAAATAGATTCCAATTGGACAAAACTTATATGTTTATTGATTCATAGTCCAATCCATGCAAACCAGGTGATCAAGACAAATTAGTTCACCTCTGAATTGATTTTGAAGACCTCAACACAAACTATGGTACTGGACAAGAAACCTGGGACTTGAGCTCAAGTAATGACAACCAAAGGCAGCCTGACAAAAAGAAGAGTGGTACTCAGGTTTGCAAATGCTACCACCACCACAACATGTCTTTCCCCTTGTGTATCGCAAGAATGAAGGTTTGATAATATTACCAGCTAAAATTGTCAAAACCCTATGATTTATGATGCAATACACAATTAGAATAATGACACCCAAAGGTTCCAATTTAAATCTTACAATTGAACCATTTTCTGAAAGAAAAGATAAAAAGTCATAATTTTTTATCGGTAATGAGAAAAAAAACAGATCTTGGAAAAAATCTAATTATTGTTTGAATGTAATCATTTTGATTTGTATATCTGATCATTTATCTGGTTCATGCCATGTAAATCAATTTGAGTATATGATAATGCTTTACTTTGCCATATCTCAATTTTTCCAAGGGGATCTTGTGCTAGAATAAGCCCCATGGGTAATTCAAAGACTATTTAAAATTTTAAATTAAGTTTATTTTCCATCATACATGTGTCATGAAGAAAGGGGGAGCTAACCATAAAGAATGAGGATGCAAATTTTTACCAAGTAAAATCAAAAATGCAAAGAGAACTTCAGTTTTTTTTACCAAGTAATTGATAGATCTTTAACAATGATGAAGGATTCACACGAGTTAAATGTATGACGTAGAAAAAATAAAAACTTAAATAACAGAAACATCCCAAGGAATGGCACAAGGAGTCCAGCTACTTTTTTTCTGATAAATAAGGAGTCCAACTACTTTAGCAAGGAAACCATAGATGCCTAAAAAGATGGCTAGTCAAACACAAGAAATATTATGATATAGCATTATAAATAAGGTCCAGAGGTCAAAAACATATTAGAATCCAATGGGATAAATTTCTAAAGTACTAAACATTTTCACAAAATTATAGATAGCATATTCAATAAAAACCATAATGAAACAATGTCCTATATAAAACCATAATTCCAGAGGACTTCATAAAGAAGGATATAAGAGACTCCTACCTTTTCTTTAGCAATCTCAGCAGAATCTTCCTTGCTGATGGCATTAGCTGAAACTTTGGAATTTGCAGCTATATCTGCCTGCTCCTGAAGACAAGCGAACATAGTTTGTACAGTATCCAGTAAAAAGCGATCACCACCATTCCTTGCTATAAAGGAAACTGAGATGGGATACTTGTCATAGAATCCTAGTGGTAAGGACACCTGCAGAGAGATGAAAGTAAAATAGAAAGCAAAACAAATGCAGTATAGGTTATTATTACAGAAGAAAACTCTTGACAGTATGGCCGGCCAGAAATAAGAGGAAGAGAAGAGGAGAAGAAAAGAGAAGAGAGGAGGGAAGAAAGAAGGGTTTTGCAATGCAACAGTACTGGCGGCGCCAGCCTTTATTTTAATATATATAGGGCGGCAGAAATAACAAGGGAAAAGACCATTGTGCCCCTGAGTACAATAACAGACATAACAGAAAGAAAATAAACGAAATAAAAAACACTTTAATTAGCCAAACAGGTCCTAACATCAGCAACTAAATTATTTTAACATTACTTTAACAAAAACTAAGAAAAATATTTCCTATAAGCACACCGGTGAAGGAACATGTCTCAGGAAATCTTATACTCTTCAGGAATAAACAAGAAAATTTTACCTGGCAGCAACCCGATATGCTAGCAATACTCAACAAGCTAAAAGCACGGATCTGGTACTCTTCAGATAAAATCTCTTTTGCACCGAGTTTTGGAGGAGGATCAGCAACTGTAGGAATCACAAGGATCCCCTCATCCTTCATATAAAAGACAAAAGTTGCAGTATTTTTTTACCAATTTAGCAAACAAAGCATTAGTTTCAATGAAACCCTAGAAGGCTTATGTTTTGAACTTTTGATATAATAAATCAATAAGATAAAAGGCCAATTTAGCAAACAAAGCATTGGTTTCAATGAAACCCTAGAAGGCTTATGTTTTGAACTTTTGATATAATAAATCAATAAGATAAAAGGCAAATAGACTAAATTTTCAGGAGTACAACGTCACATTAAAATAGCAGGTGTACATGAAGCATTTTTTATTAGTAAGCATGAAGCATTTTTTTTATTAGTAAGAATTAAGCATTTTAAAAAGAGCACAAAATGTCCACAGAAGTTAACACGAATACCTATAAATATAAAGAAAAGGTGGAAGGAACTTATTATTTATTGTTAATAGCAGTATTCTCCTGGTCAGATAAGCATAACCCAACTAAAGGCCTCAGGGGAAGTGTAAGGGATGTTCATCAATGAAGAATCTAGATATCTTGATTGTTCCCTAAAGAAGAACTGCCAAAAAGGGAATTTGGGAGAAAACTAGCTAATTTCACCACCCATATGTATAGAGACCCACTAGGGAGCCCTAGAATCTCTTGACCACTTCCTTGGTGAATAGATTCTCCCACTCATTTGGGAAAAATTAGAATTTTCATGGTTTATCACCTTCAATGACAGGTCTGTAATTTTCTGTTTTTTCTGTATGGGTAAATTGTGTATTTAGAATCTAATTACAAATAGCTGCGGAGCCCGGCTTCTATCGGGCATTGTCCATGCTCGCACCGTTTGCGCAGCATGAGGATGCACCATGCGTCTTTTGGTTCATGCGTTGGCTTAATGCATGTCAAACGAATTAAATGGAGTCTATACTTAATATCGTTAGCTTCTCATTCGTTCCATCCCACTTCCCGCTTGAGACTAGCCGGACTCTGCCCTCGCCAGTCACTCTGCCCTGATAGAAGCCGGACTGTTATTACCGACAACTGATAGAAGTCGGACTCCTGTTAACGGTAATCAGAGTTCAGATTCGCCTACCCTTGCTAAACAAGCGAGAATGGAGGATTCTATGGAGAAAGAAGTCCAACAAGAGAAGAGATGGCCACCGACAACAAGAAGTGGAGGTGTCATTGTCGTTGTCTCGTGTTTTCTCACTTTGCCGCTTGGGGAGTCGGTTTCAACCTATCATTTAAACTAGAGTAGGTGTTGTTGCCATTACCTATTATTTTCATTTAAATATTCATTCCTTATTTTCTAACTCCATTTCATTAGTGAATTTTTATTGAGATTTTACCTTGTTATTTAGATCTGTGAATTTTTTTTATGATTTCATCCCTGTAGTGAGTTACTATTGTTAATTAACTTTTTGTTGTAACTTTGTTTCTATTATCACCGTAGATTTCTGTGGTTTCAGGTTTGACTGAATATAAATCCTCTACATATCATATGGGTCCTAATGAATTGAAAACCAACTTCTTGAATTTGCTGGTATAAGCTCAACTTTGTGGGTATTAGGCTCAACCCAATAATTTATTAGGCTTGGACTTGCTTGTTCCCAGCCCATCATGACTCAATATAACCACTCAAATGTCCTTAAGGCTCAGTTTAGGAGTATAAATATAAATATGCAGATTGTAGAGTAGAAAACCTTGTATTTTGTATACTTTACATATTAATATTTGTACTCTTTCCAAACTGAGCCTAAAAATCAGCAAATTCCTTGTGTCTTTGTATTCGTAACACAATCAATGAAGCAATCAAATGAAAAGCATGTCTATCAAATACCCAAAGAATACTAGAACATAAACTAGTTCTAATCTCATAAGAAAACATCCACTAGTGCGGGGAACTAGAAAGGAGAAGGGTGAGAGAGAGAGATAGAGATTGGCTGGCAGTTACAGAGGAGAATGCACTTGACCATAACTTCGAATAGAACCGGTTAGCGAAAACTCCATCATCGAGAGAGAGGGAAGCGGTGTCGAGAACGTGGAGATGGAGAGAAGGGGAATCAGGGGGATGGGAGACACAGATGAGGATGGAAGTGGTTTCATCAGAGAATTGCAAGGGAAGTTGGAAGATAGGTCTTAGTCGATGGGTCGCATTGGTTCGGCGCCACCATGAACAACCCATGGCTGCAGACAACATTCTCCAAACTGAAGGTTGAAACCAACTCCCCAAACGGCAAAGTGAGAAAACACGAGACAACGACGATGACACCTCCACTTCTTGTTATTGGTGGCCATCTCTTCTCTCATCAGACTTCTTTCTCCATAGAATCCCCCATTCTTGCTTGTTCAACAAGGTTAGGCGATTCTGAACTTTGATTACTGTTGACAGGAGTCCAGCTTCTATCAAGGCAGAGTCCAAAACACCTGAGGTTTTTTTCCGGTCGCCGGTGTTAACAGTCGTCGGTGATTGCTGCTAATCGCCGCCGGTTGGAGGGGGAGAGAGTGAGAGTGATTGTTGAGGGCAAAGTCCGACGAGTCTCGAGCAGGAAGTGGAATGGAATGAATGAGAAGCTAACGACATGAAGGATAGACTCCGTTTAATGCATTTCGCATGCATTAAGCCAGTGCACGAACCAAAAAACACGTGGCACATCTTCATGCTGCGCGAACGGTGCGAGCATGGACTCTACCCTGATAGAAGCCTGACTCATAGCTGTGGACAAGAGTCTATGTAAGGTTCAAAGAGTTTTAATTACTTGATTAGATATCTTGTAGGTAAGATGTCTTAAATTGGACTGACATGTCTTTAGAGCCTTCTCTTTATTTTTATTTTAGGACATAATTAAGAGTCTCTTGTGGATTAGTTGACCCCTTCTTTTATTTTATTTTGATCTTTTGTGATTGGGAGAATATAAATGCGGTTGAGAATTTGAAGTTGGCAGTTAGTCTATTTGAGAGAATGTCTAATTTCAATGTTAATTGAAATAAAAGCCCAGTGGCTGGTATCAATTTAGAAGAAAGGGAATTGAGGTCATTGGCAAAGACTTTGGGATGTGAGAGTGGGGAGTGGTCGTTAAGATATTTAGGATTACCCCTAGGTGACAACCCTAGGTCAGTTAGTTTTTGGGGCCCATATATGGAAAGAATTGAGAAGAGACAAGTCGGGTGGAAAAGAATTATATCTATTTGGGTGGGAGCCTTACTTTGATTAAATCCACTTTAGTTAACCTCCCAATAATATTACATGTTAGTCTCCAGGATGCCCCAGATAGTTGTGAAGAGAATTGAGAAGCTAATGAGGGATTTTCTCCAGGAACTGGGGGAAGGGAAGAAAGATCATTTGGTGAAATGGGAAAAGGTAATTAAAAGGAAGGAAGAAGGGGGCTTGGGAATTAGCAATAATGAACATGAAAAACTTGGCCCTTTTGAGCAAGTGGCTTTGGTGCTTTCCTATGGAAAATGAGAGGTCATGGCATAAAGTTGTGGCTAGCATTCATGGGCTATCTAGAGATGGATGGAGTGTTGGTTCTCTACAAAGAGCTACTCTTGCTGCAACTTGGAAAGCTATACAAGGTATCCTCCATGTTTCCTTAATCATGTAAGGTATGATTTGGCTTCTAGTCATAAGATAAGGTTTTGGGAAGATGTGTAGACAAGGGAGTCCCCTCTTAAAGATGTTTCTCCTTCCCTGTTTGTTCTTTCCAATCTTAAAGATAGACATGTGGCAGATTTTATCCAATTCCATCCTTTTTCTTCAATGCTGAATTGGAACTTGGGCTTCACTAGGAATCTTAGAGAGTTGGAAACTCCTTTGGTGTCTAACTTGTTAAGCCTCTTGGATTCTATAGTCTTTGATCTTGAGGGAAGAGATGACCGTTTGTGGTCCCTTAATCCTGGTGGGGTTTTTTCTTGCAAATCCTTTTTAACTCCTTTGTAGCCACTTCCTCCCCCCACCCCCACCCTTCTTGTGAAAGAAATCAGGTGCTCCCCTATTTCTCCAAAGGTCAATGCCTTCTATTAGTAAGTTTTTCATGGTTGCATTAATACTTGCGATATGCTTCAAAGGAAAAGGCCAAATTGGTCCTTGTCCCCAGTTGGTGTTTCTTATTGGTGAGACTGCTTTTCATCTCTTAATCTCTTACCCTTTTGTTTGTGGTCTTTGGGAATGGTATTTTCTCTTTTTGGTTGCAGGTGGAACCATCCTGCCAGTTTGGAGTGGTTATTTAGCTCTTCCGTTTTGAGAGGCACAAAAAAGGAGGGGCAGAATTTTGTGGAGATGCACAAGGGAAGCAGTGATTTGGACAGTGTGGGAAGAAAGAAATTCAAGAATTTTGGGGGAGAAGAGAGGAGTAAGTAGGCAGTGATAGATCTCATAACTTTGCACCTTGGGTCAAGATCTTGAAATTCTTTTCAAACTTCAAGGTGGAGGGCTTCTTCAGGAGTTAGGGGGCAATTGCTGGCTCTTCCTCTAGGAAACAAAAAACTCTAGAGGTGACCAAACCCCCAGCAGGTGGTTGGATGAAATTGAATTTCAATGGTAGTAGTGTGGGCAATCCGGGTCCTCAGGAATTGGACGGGTGATTAGAGATGAAAGTGGCATTATGTGTGCCTTGTTCTCAGGCCCAATTGAGCAAGGTGATTTGGTAAGAGCAGAACTTTTAGCTACAGTTTCTGGGATTGAGAAAGCTAAAGAGATGTGAATTAGTAATTTGATCATTGAAGGTGATCCAAAGATAGTAGTGGGATGGTTTAAGAAAGGTGAGGGCGTGACTTGGCAGCTTAGAAATGAATTCAAGTACTTCAAATGTCTGTCAAAAGACATGAGCATTCAAATAAGTTCGGTTAGAAGATCTGCTAACGCTCAGCAGATGGTTTAGCTAAGCAAGGGGTTCAAAGACAACACATGTACTGAGCACAGTTGTAATATAGAGCTGGGTAGCTTGTTTTGTAATGGGTTAGCAAGTTTCTCACAACTTGTATTCCTTTTTTTTTCTGAAAGTTTTAATGAATGAATGGTTTCTGTGTTGCTGATAAAAA